TTTGAGTAGAATTAGTTTCTGGCACCTAATGTGTGCTCTCAAATTGATTTGAATCTTAGATACTTGTTCCAGATCCTAGTAGCAATGAACGAAACAGACAATTCATGGTCCCCATGGAGCTAATATTTTGATGTTCTGTTACAGAAGTGAACATGGGATGGAGACATCTGACATATTCAAAGAGCTAAAGGCTCCTCCGTTGCCAAAGGGATCTTGAGAATTTATAATCGTAATTCCATATTGTAATTATGCTTTAAATTGGGTGGAGGTCAGTAGGACTGTTGGAATCCTGAGTTGGTTCCCTGAGTTTGTCTTTGAGCTATTAGAACATCTGTGCCACACTTTAGAAAAACTGATGATAATTTATTTTTATTTTAAAATTTATCTTACAAGTATTTCATCTGCTATGGGAGAAAAACACATTACAGAGGGAAAAATGCACACATTCCTGATCCCCATGTCTGAGAAAGCAAAGTGAATACTTATCTGCTGCCAATATGCTTAATTAGGGTAGACAAGGGAGACAGTACAATTTAAAATTGTTTTTGTAAAGTCACTTAAGGAAATGGACATAATATTGAGTGGTCAGAAATCTATGTTCTAGGAATTTTAAAAAACGCACTGGGTCTGTTTTATAAGAAGAGGAATTAAAAGAAACATGAGTGGGAGTTAAGTATTATTATAAAATGTTCTGTAGATTTAATAATGTGGTTCTTTAAAATTTGTCATTTCTGCACAGCAGGGAGATAAGACAATTATTTTTGGCTCTGTATGAGTATTGTTTAAATTATTCAGTATTCTCTTTTGTAGCTAAATTGCTGAAGTAAAAATATATCAGAAAATTAATATACTTTTATTTATATAATAACAATACCTTATAACTGTAAGTATAAGCTGATCACACTTACCTGCTCTTTCATCAAATATTCCCAACCCTTTGAAATAGAAATTATAGGCCGGGCGCGGTGGCTCAAGCCTGTAATCCCGGGAGGCCGAGGCGGGTGGATCACGAGGTCAAGAGATCGAGACCATCCTGGTCAACATGGTGAAACCCCATCTCTACTAAAAATACAAAAAATTAGCTGGGCATGGTGGTACGTGCCTGTAATCCCAGCTACTCAGGAGGCTGAGGCAGGAGAATTGCCTGAACCCAGAAGGCGGAGGTTGCGGTGAGCTGAGATCATACCATTGCACTCCAGCCTGGGTAACGTGAGTGAAACTCTGTCTCAAAAAAAAAAAAAAAAAGAAATAGAAATTATAATTGATATTACTTTAGGCATGAGAAAATTATGGTTCAAGAAGGTTTTCTGATTTTCCCAAGATAAAATTGGTGTCATTGGGACTAGAACTTGGGAATTCTGACTATAGATTTTGAGCTGGGTAGATGTCGTGATCGAGAGAATGGGCGCTAGTGTCAGTTGGACCTAGGGTTGTTCCCCACCTGTATCCTTACTTATTACTTAGCCTCTCGATCCTCACTTTTCTCTTCTGAAAATGGGGATAATATGACCTACCTCATATCCTGGTAGTGAGGATTATGAGATTATTACTAAATGTGAAGTGCTTACTTGGCACGTAGTATATATATGTTCATCTAAGTATTGTAGATATTATTGATAAAGAATAAAGGGGAAAATAAAAATAATGACAATACTGTCTTCTTCTTTGGAAGAAAACGATAGATTAAAACAGTTGAGGCCAGGCATGGTGGCTCATACCTGTAATCCCAGCACTTTGGGAGGCCAAGGCAGGAGGATCATTTGAGCCCAGGAGTTTGAGACCAGCCTGGGCAACATAGTTGAAACCACGTCTCTACCAAAAAAAAAAAAAAAAAATTAAAAATTGGCCAGATGTGGTGGTGTGTACCTGTAGTCCTAGCTACCCAGCTACTGGAGGTGGGGGAGGCCCAAGATGGAAGGACAGCTTGAGCTCAGGAGGTTGAGGCCACAGTGAGCCATGATGAAGCCACTGTACTCCAACCTGGGTGACAAGAATGAGATCTTGCTTTTTTAAAGAAAGAAAAAAAGCCTAAAAAGCAAAAGAACAGTGAATCTCAACTGGAGTTGGTTTAGTCCCCTACCCCCGATAGGACATTTTGTAATGTCTGTAATTTTTGGTTGTCTCAAATGGAAAGGTGCTACTGGTATCCAGTTGGTAGAGGCCAAGACTATCACAAAACATCCTTCAATGCACAGGGCGGGCCCCACAACAAAGTATTATCTGGTCTAATGTCAGCAGTGCTGAGGTTGAGAAGCCCTGCATTAAAACAACAAGAATTCATTGAGTATGCTTTAAAAATTGTATTTGTTTTTGTTTTTTGATAGAGATGCGGGCCTCAGTATGTTGCTCAGGCTGGTTTTGAACTCGCGGTCTTAAGTAATCCTCCCGCTTTGGCCTCCTAAAGTGCAGGGATTATAGGCATGGGCTGCCACACCCAGCCCTTATTGAGTATACTTTTAATGAGCCATGTAAACATCATCACTCTCCAAGCATAGAAGAATTTGAAAATAAAAGATAATATATTATTTTTGCAAGTGTAGAACACAAAAACTAGTGTGAGGAAATTACATAGTTTATGTTGGACATATGAATAGAATGACAGAGTTTTTAATAAGAAAGAAAAGTTATCAGTTAAGTTCTTTGTGGCTTAGAGGTGACAGTTTTCAAAACTGACAATTTATAGTTTATTTCTTAAAAAATAAATTTTCTTGTGATAGGATCATTTCAGTTCATCAGCAAATGGCCTCCTTCACTGGCTTTCCATCATTCATTGATGAGTTTTCAATAGCTAGGACTTTAGTAACACCAGTAAGATATGATTTAATGAAAATAAATTAAAGAAATTTAAGTGAGGGCTGGATGCAGTGGCTCATACCTGTAATCCCAGCACTTTGGGAGGCCTAGGCAGGTGAATCATTTGAGGTCAGGAGTTTGAGACCAGCTTTGCCAACATGGTGAAACTCCATCTCTACTAAAAATACAAAAATTAGCCAGGTGTGGTGGCACATGCCTGTAATCCCAACTATTCGGGAGGCTGAGGCAAGAGAATCACTTGAACCTGGGAGGTGGAGGTTGCAGTGAACCAAGATTGCACCACTGCACTCCAGTCTGAGAAACAGCAAGACTCTGTCTCAAAAAACAAAACAAAACAAAACAAAACAAAACAAAAAAAGAAATTTGTAACTAAGTGGGAAAATAATGTAATTTAGCTGTATTAATTTTAAGACCAAAATGCAGTATTCTCCTGCTTAGAAATCAGGAGACTCAGTACTTTTCACAGTAATCTTAGTTACCCTTAATTTGAATATTTCAAAACTAATTATATTATGAAAATGGAATCACACACACAAATTCACTAAGAGATATTGATCATGATGAACTAATTTCTCTAGATTTATAATCTGAATAATCTACTATTGTGCAACTCACCCCACATTAATGGCTTCTGCAAAGTAAAAGCAAAAAAGTAATCTTTCACAAACTTTTACTCATGTTTGAAGAAGAACTTCCTATATATATGTCAAAATCAGTCACCACAGAACCCAGAGATATCAGGTTGTATAATGGGCTCATGTAGAGAGCAGATATAAAGGGGTATTTTTAAAGTTTTTAATATTTGTGCATACATAGTAGGTGTATATATTTATTGGGCATATGAGATGTTGTGATAGAGGGAGGCAATGTACAATGATCACATCATGGAAAATGGGGTATCTGTCCCCTCAGGTGTTTATCCTTTGTGTTACAAACAATCCAATTATACTCTTTCAGTTATTTTAAAATGTGCAATTACATTATTATTATTATATACTATAGGCACCTCATTGTGCTGTCACATAGTAGGTCTTATTCATTCTTTTTTTGTACCCATTAAACATCCCCAACCACCCTTCCCAGCCTCTGGTGACCATCCTTCTACTTTCTATCTCTATGAGTTCAATTGTTTTTATTTTAGATCCTACACATGAGATCATGTGATATTTCTCTTTCTGTGCCTGGCTTATTTCACTTATCATAATGATTTTCATTTTCGTCGATGTTGTTGCAAATGACAGAATCTCATTTTTTTAATGGCTGAGTAGTATTCCATTGTGTATAAGTACCACGTTTCCTTTATCCATTCATGTGCTTATGGACACTTAGGTTGGTTCCAAGTCTTAGCTGTTGTGAACAGTGCTGCAATAAACATGGGAGTGCAGATATCTCTTTGGTATATTGACTTCCTTTCTTTTTGGGTATATGCCCAGCAGTGGGATTGCTGGATCATATAATAGCTTTATTTTTAGTCTTTTTGAGGAACCTCCAAACTGTTCTCCATAGTATTTGTACTAATTTACATCCCTACCAACAGTGTACAAGGGTTTCCTTTTCTCCAAATCCTTGCCAGCATTTGTTACCGCCTGTCATTTGGATAAAAGCCATGTTAACTGGAGTGAAATGATATCTCATTCCAGTTTAAAAAAAAAATTTTTTTTTGTCACCTAGGCGGGAATACAGTGATGCAATCACTGCACACTGCAATCTCTGCCTCCCAGGTTCAAGCGATTCTCCTGTCTCAGCCTCCCAAGTAGCTGGGACTATAGGCATGCACCACCATGCTGGGCTAATTTTTGTATATTTAGTGGAGACCTGGTTTCATCATGTTGGCTAGGCTGGTTTTGAACTCATGACCTCAAGTGATCCGCCCACCTTGGCCTTCCAAAGTACTGGGATTACAGGTGTGAGCCACTGCACCTGGCCTGAGTTTTTATTTACATTTCTCTGATGATCAATGATTCTGAGCACTGTTGTTATGCCTATTTGTCATTTGTACATCATCTTTTGAGAAAGGTCTATTCAAATCTTTTGCCCATTTTAAAATCAGAGTATTAGATATTTTTCTGTAGAGTTGTTTAAATTTTTTACATATTCTGGTTATTAATCCCTTGTCAGATGGGGAGTTTGCAGATATTTTCTCCCATTTTGTGGGTTGTCTCTTCACTTGTTGATTGTTTCCTTTACTGAGTGGAAGCTTTTTAACGATGTGATCCCATTTGTCAATTTTTGCTTTGGTTGCCTGTACTTATGGGTATTACTCAAGAAATTGTTGCCCAGACAAACGTCCTGGAGAGTTTCCCAGATGTTTTCTTGTAGTCGTTTCATGGTTTGAGGTCTTAGATTTAAGTTTTTAATCCATTTGGTTTTGATTTTTGTATATGGTGAGATAGGGGTTTAGTTTCATTCTTCTGCATACGGATATCCAGTTTCCCAGCACCATTTATTGAAGATATTTTTCTATAAATGGGCTTTTAAAAAATGAAGAATATTGAAGAAAGATGCGTTGTTTCAGCTAAAGCCAGCCTTAGCGCCATGACTGTCCCCCGAACACTGTTTCAGGAAGGACCTCAAAGGTGTCCATGTGCTCAACAAGGGGTGCGGCATATGCGTCTCTGGTCCTCCCGGGGCCAGCCTGCTGCCATGGTTGGAGGTGAGGACCAGATGTGGTGCTGAAAGGAGAAGACAGGGTGGGAGAAGGATGGTGGTATCATTAATTCAGTATGTATGCATGCGTGTGTTTATTATTTATCCAGTTTTTAAATAGTGTTAGAATACACATAATTCAATATATATTTATTGATCAACTGATACATGCCAGGCCTGTGTTTGTGCTGGCAACAGAACAATCATGAAGGCAGAAGAGAAGCAAAGAAAGACAGCAGACAAGGAAACACCTGGCTCCTCCAACCCCTCATACGTTCACATGTGTATAGGTTGGTGGGGGAAAAACTGACCCAAACTGAAAACTAGACAAACTATTTATTACACAAGATACACGAACAGAATACATAAATATGACAACAAAAAGTAAAGGGGATTATGAGTAAAAGAATATAGGAACTAATCTAACCTAGGGGGTCGGAGGAGGTAGCCAGTAGGTATAGTCTTGCTTAGCGTAAAACAAACAAACAACCTCCCCCCTCTAAAAAAAAAAATACCAAAAACATCGCTTTGGTTTGATAAGCAGCACAGTTCAGGTATCAAATATTCCTAGTTAAGTGTGTGGTCCTAGGCCTTTAAAAGACATAGAACCTGGCCAGGCACTGTGGCTCACGCCTGTAATCCCAGGTCTTAGGGAGGCAGAGGTGGGAGGATAGCTTGAGCCCAGGAGATCAAGACCTGCCTGGGCAGTATAGCGAGACCCCATTCGCCACAAAAAGGAAAAACAAAAAGACAAAAAAAAGAAAAAAAAGAAGACAGAATTCTATGGCAGATGGTGGCTATTTTCATGATGAAGTAGAATAGTAGAACAAACCAAGGTTGACAGGATATCAAAAATCCTGATTGGCTTTAGTTACCGAGTGACTTCTGGGAAAAATGTGGTTTTAAGAAAAGGTGAGATTGGTGAGTAGGTAAAGAACTGGGAGAGAACTCCCAATCTAGGAGATAGTTTGGAAGGAGTAAAAAGCAAACAAGAGGTAAACAGAATGATGTGATGGGTGGAAACCACAGGAGCCCATTGGAAAGGCCGGGCCTTAAGGGCACAGACAATGAAATCAGCTAGAAGGGCAGGAAGTGCACCCTGGGGTGGCCCTCCCCACACAGGAACCTGACCTGGACAGGAAGTGAAGGGCATCATCTGAGGAGCAGGAAGGGAGACATAAGGGAAGTAAGTGTCCGCTGCATAAACCTTGCTAGGGCTTTTATCCTGTGGTGGGGTTGTAGGCAGCTTGGAGCTTCTCTAACAAAATAATCTGGCCTGCTGGGAGGTATTTGTAAGGAACAAGAAGGGAGACAAGGAAGGTTGGAGTGTGGGCAACTACTGTGGGGCTCTGTCTTGTCTCAGCTCCTTTTTGGGTGACATAAGATACTTGCCCTGGATCCAAACAGGAAGAAAATGAGTCTCATTTCCTCCACCTCCCAACCCCGTGCCTCCCATGATGAAATTATCTATATGGGACTCTTGGTTGACATAAATCTTTGTTTTAATAAAAACCAAAGGATCTGGAGTAGGAAGTGGTTAAGAAGTTGTTTGCTAGAGATTATATCGATAATTCTTCCCGTTTAGACAGAAGAAGGACAATGATAAAGAAGTTAGAACAAAAACCAAACAAACAAACCCACTATGGTAAATGGGGCAGGGGAAATTGAGAAGTTGAGATGAAGACAGAATTGGACATATATGAATATAACCTTTTTTTTTTAGCTAGCTGTAAACAGTGTGGTATGATGAAAGATGGGAAGAGATATAAAAATAAACAGCATTAAGTTAAAGGGGATAATTATAGGAGCCAAAATGAGAGGTGAGTGTTGCAAAGGATCCAGCTAAGTTTAGAGACTTGAGAAGTTTCTTCAAACATTTCCTTTCAGGACACTGTGGAGCTTTAATCTTTCAGAATTTAACAAACCCCTGAATGTATATGCCTTAAATACACACAAACACACATTTTTGCTTTTTCCTGTTGGGGGAGAAGAGATAGTAGGATATGTGTTCTTCGTTGTCATTTGGAAAACAGCTTCCAGTACGTTTTATTTGCTTTTAAAAGCTCTAGAGGATAGTCAGCAAATAGAAATGGGTTTGCAGAAATAACATGGCTTCCTGTAACTTAGGGGGAAGGAAATGGGTGGTTTCTTTAATTACTATAGTATTTGTTTAGTATAGTGTGTGTTATAACTAAAGATAGAATTCTGGCTAATGTCCAGGAGGGAAGGTGAATAATGAATATTATTTGGATATTAATGAATTCAGAAGCTACATAAAATTGTGTTTAATTTACTAGGTCAAGTAAGGCAATAATGCTCTTTTTTTTCACTATCCTGGCTAGATCAGAGTGGACTGAAGTTTGTTTTCAGATATCTAATCAGTTTAAATTCAAGGGCATTATTATTTACATATGAAGAGCTAATGACTTTAATGTAAGCAAGTAAACTTATTTACAACAAAGATGTGACTGGTGACAAAAGGAGTGTCGATACTGCCTTAATTAATTGATTTGCTAATTATTCTTTTCTGCTGGGTGTGATAGTACTTTTCCTAATGAGCAGCAGAAACAAGAATGCTGCAGCAAGCAACTTTAACACAATAGTAGTAGCAATAGCTTCTTGGCCATTTTCGGTCCATTTGTGCTGAAGTTGTTGACTTCATACAATTTTGCGGACTTTATAAAATTGAAGAACTAAGTGTATTCCTATATGTTTATCCTATGTATTTATCAGCTATTTGACTTAGCTCAAGTCTGAAAAGCTTAAAAGGCATTTAATGAAAGTGAAAATAAATTAGATGACCATGTTTGAATTTAAATAACAATTAAAAATATGTCCTACAGCAGTACCATGCATTTATTTCTGCAGGCTTCTTAAAGACATTGATTGGTAATAGATGCATCCATGCTCATTGGTGTGGGAAGCCCTGGGGAATGGCTAGAAGGGTCATTCATTTTTTTTTTTTTCCGTAGGCTTGCATTTCTTCTGTATTTGAAAGTCATGATACTGAAGAAATTCAAAAATCTTCAGGAGATTCCATGTCCACATAAAAAATGCAAACTTATCTTTACCGTAATATGTTCACTTCTCATAACTCCTTGATTGGAACCCTTCACTTCATCCAGGCTGAGAGTTCTGTAAGTTTCTGCCATAGGCATGTTCATTCCTGACACCATGCTTTTGCTTGGCTGTGCCTCCTGCCCAGAATGCACATCCTTTTATGCACATCCTCTCTCTATCCTATTATTGTCCTATTTCTTCCTGATTCAGGGGTTGGTGATTGGTGGAGATGGCTAACATTTACTAAGTATATCTCATGCTTTAGGTACTGTGGTGGCAATTTATGTGCATTGTTCAATAGTACCCCTGTTTTACAGATAGGGAAAGAGAGGCTTAGAGAATGTCACTGGATTCACACTAGTAAGTGGCACAAGGCCAGAATATAAATCTAGGTCTTTTTGGTCATTTCTGGATTTAATCTTATAGTGCCTTGAATTGTCTCTTAGCTATTGCATCTACTAAGTCCTTATTTCTGTAAATAGATTGTCAGTGGCTAGAGGCAAGGAGTTTATCTTTTAGTTTGCATAGAGCAGACCCTCAATAGTGATAGCCTTCTATTGAACTGAAAAATAACATGTAAGACATTAAAGGATTTTTATTATTTGGTTAAACACTGGAAGAAAGAAACAAATCCCAGGAAACTAATTTCTCAAAATTACTGCATGAAGACAAGACACTGTGGTTCTGAGTGTGGTCAGTGCTACTCCCATGAGTGTCTGGAAATTTGGGGGGCAGTTCTTAGGTTGTCAGGATACTGGATGTATCTTGCACTTAGTGGGGGGTAGACGGGGATGTCAAACACCTTGCAGAAAGTGGCACAGTTCTGCACCCCGCAGGGGCCAGTAAGGGAAGCAGCACCTGGAAAACATAGACCCGGATGCCAGATTGAGTTCCAACCTACCTCCACCTTTTACTGAGTAAACCTTTCTCACGTTAACTATGTGCCCTCTCCACTCCTGGCACACAGTTAGTGCCCAATAGTGTCAGCTCATAATCACCATCCTGTAGAAAAGTGTCTCCCATGGCAAGACATGATCTTTGCAGAGCGGCAGAACTTACTAGACTAATAGTAACAGGGTAAAAATCAAGGTGTAATGAACATACAGAGTGGAATAATAGACATTGGAGACTCCAAAAGGCAGGAGGGTGGGGCGGAGTGGGGGTGGTGAGGGATGAGAAATTACCTATTGGGTACGATGTACAGTATTCGGGTGATGGGTACACAAAGAGCCCAGACTTCACCACTATACAATATATCTGTGTAACAAAACTGCGCTTGTATTTTCCAAGTCTTAAAAAAGAAACCAAAACTAAAAAAAAAAAAAAAAAAAAAAAAAAGTCAAGGTGTGTTCCAAAACAGTGCTTCTCAAACCTAAATGTGCTTACAAATCTCCTAGAAATCCTGTTACAATGCAGATTCTGATTCAAGGGATCTAAGGTGGGACCAGAGTGTCTGCATTTCTGATAAGCTTATGATCCAAGAGCTGCTGTTGGGTATCAAAGTTCTAAAGTACCTTGAGGGAGAAGCCAACTTCATAAAGGGAATAATGAAGCATTTATTGCATATCTACTATATAACTTAAATGATAAAAATAGAGTAATGGAGGTTGGATATAAGGAGTATAGAATTTGATTTCTTCACAGAAGGAGCTTCCATCTGCTTTGCCACTTTTATCTGAGAGGCAGAGAGAAAGAGAAAGACAGAGCGTGCACATTTTCCCTGGATAACTATATTTTTCAGGGGAAAAAGGCAGAGAGGTATTTCTTATGTGTATTTCCTCACACGAAAAGGCCATTTTGGGTCCCTAAATAATTTTAGAGGAGGTATTATAACTAAATAAGGGTAAAACCTGACAGTTATTTTTGGATGCAGGGTGTAAACCTTGCATATCTCAGAACTAGTAAGAATGGTGTGCATTTGGGTGTTTCTGTGTGTGTGTGTGTGTGTGTGTGTGTGTGCAGTTTTATATGTCTGCGTGTGAGCTGGAAAGTATATTGGGCCATTGCTTGGGATTGATTTCTTAAACATCACTAGAGAAGAGGGATATTTTCCCTCATAAAGATTAAAGCCTCAAGTTAAGGGGCAGGAGTTCCTAAGGCAGTCTTGACTAGGAACTTTGCATATTATAGGCAGTCGATGTTATTTGAACGTAGTCATTGAGAGGAGAGACTACTCATTATCCACTTAAAATACTTCCCGGCTGCAGCACGGTGTTGTACCGAAGCCAAAGCAATTGGCTTTGCATTTGGCCAGCTGATTTAGCAAGAAATTTCGCAAATGATGCAGCCCTTACAGATGGTGCTGTTGGGTTTTTTTAGAGTGTTTTAAAACACTGATGGATTTGACTATGAACTGAATTTCCAGTCTCTTAGATTCACCTCCAGCCAACCCTTGATGATCTCTACGGCAGCTGGAGACAAGGAACGGACCTGTTCTGCAGCTTTATGATAAATGATTTCCTTTAAAAACCACTCACATAATAAAAATAATTTGGTGTAAACTTGGCCAAGGGGAACTCTTGAAACTTTCAGTATCTTCGCTGAACTCTGAGTTGCTTGAGTCACATTTTCGCATAGTTCTTGATTGACTTTCTGGTGCTCTGCCTGCAGGTCATGAAGGAGCCAGTGTCTCCAGGAGGAGTATGAGAATGGTGTAAAGTGTAAATCCTGGAGAGGCTGTGGCAAGGGTCCATGCCTGAATGTGTACAGCAAGAACAGCTGGAGGCTGTGGCTTTCTCCAGGAAGAGGTTTCTAAATTTGCCTTTTAGAAGATATCAGAAAGTTCAGCGTACTACTGTACCATGTTCACAGGCCGAATTCTTGTTCACATCTTTACAACAGGGACTGGTCCTGATCTTTGCTGTTGACTGCTTGCTTGTTTTCTTGGTTTCTATTTGAATCATCACCTTTTAATCATCTTCCTCGGTGCCCTTTTGGTAGTGCTTATTTTGGCTTTATGTAAGCAGCATCTCTGGATGCATAAATGAGGCAGATAAAATTCCCCAGGGTGAATGATCTGCCCTTCATCTATTTTTAGCACTGCAAAGAATTTACCATAGCCCACAGCGTAACTCAATCACTGTAAGCCAGTGAGCAAATTCTGAGGTTGTTTTTTGTTTTTTTTTTAAATAACCTTTCCTGGAGGCATTTGGTATAGGCTAAGCTTAAAGGCACATGATTCAATCATTGATTATTCAAAACATGTCATACTTAGGCTTTTATAATCACTATATTGTCACTGTCAACTAGATATTCAGCTCTGGTTCCTAATTTTACACTGGAAGCTGCATGAAGTCTATTGTGTTCTGTGTGTGGCTCTGGCAGTGCAGAAATGGCAACAAGGAAGTATCCAGCACCCACTAAAAGACTGATGAACACCAATTTGCTTTCTCTCAGTCGAGCCATCTTTCTTAAGGGAACCCTTGGCCTGTAGCTTGAACTGTTTGATCCTTGTGTATCTTCCATCCCTTCGATCCTTAGGGAGCCTCCATAAAGTGAGGACAATGTGTCTTATTTACCACCTGCTATGGTCTGAATGGTAGTGTCCTTCTCAAATTCATATGTTGGAACCTAATACCCAATGTGATAGGATGAAGAGGTACACCCTTTTAGGAAGTGATGAAGTCATGGATTAGTGCCTGCATTAGTCAGGGTTCTCTAGAGGAGCAGAACTAATAGGATATACATACATATATACATATACATATATATATATATATATGGGAGTTTATTAAGTATTATTAACTCATACAATCATAAGGTCCCATAATAGGCTGTCTGCAAGCTGAGGAACAAGAAAGCCAGTCTGACTACCAAAGCTGAAGAACTTGGAGTCTGATGTTCGAAGGCAGGAAGTATCCAGCATAGGAGAAAGATGTAGGCTAGGAGGCTAAGCCAGTCTAGCCTTTTCACGTTTTTTTCTGCCTGCTTTATAACCTGTCAGCTGGCAGCTGATTAGATGGTGCCCACCCACATAAAGAGTGGGTCTGCCTTTCCCAGCCCACTGACTCAAATGTTCATCTCCTTTGGCATCACCCTCACAGACACACCCAGGATTAATCTTCTGCATTCTTCAATCCAATCAATCCCTCACTGTTAACCATCACAGTGCCCTCTTAAAAGAGGTTGGAAGGGAGCTGCCTTGCCCCTCCTGCCATTTGGTAATATACCAAGAAGGCACCAGTTTTGAAGCAGAGAGCCAGTGCACACCAGACACAAAATCTGCTTTCACCTTGATCTTAGACTTTAAGCCTCCAGAACTGTAAGCAATACATTTCTGTTATTTATAAATTACCCATTTAAGGTATTTTGTTATAGTAGCCTGAACAAAGATACCACCATACGTCTATAGTTTAGCACAGGGATTAAGCTTAAGGAGGCATTCATTCATTTGTCCATTGATTTATCAGTTCATTTAACAAATGCTTATTGGTAAATACCAACATTCCAGCTTGTCTTGAAACAAAGTTTCCCCATCTTTGATAGGAATATATGCTTATCATTACCATTTTGGCTGTAAGAGCTCCCCTATAACTCCTCTACTTCTTGGAAGCATGCTCCTCTAAGGTTGTTAGCGCTGCCCTCCTATCCAGGTTTGCTCTTTTCCTTTGCATCTGCAGAATCAGCACGATTTCTATAACAAAGTAATTCCTCCTACTTCTGAATATCACTGGTTTCTGTTATTAATTTCTCTCATTCGAGATCAAAGAGGTAGTTCTATGATGTGACCTGTAACGGTTTCACGGTGTATCTGCTTGGGCTTGGGTAAACCACGTCCCCCAGAACTCCCTTTCTAGTGTGTTTCTGACTAGGGTGGTCTGCAAGGGAGAGTCTCTTGCAAAAATTGGAAGATGGAGGGAGGCAGGAGCTATTTTGTGGCACACACATACCTTCTCCTAATTATTGAAACACTAATCTAGGTGCTGCTGTGAAAGGATTTTGCAGCTATAAAGTCCCTAATCAGTTGACTTTAAGTTAGTCAAAAGAGATATTATTCGAGGTGACTTAATCAGTTAATAGTTTTTTAAAAGAGGTTCTAGACCAGGGATGTCCAAGGGAGAGAATATATTCACGGGTTCTTAGTTTCTGTTTCTGGTTGGGCCAGTAAAGTCTCTTCCTCATTCCTCTTTTCTGCTTATCACTAGAGACAGAGATGGAAAAACTATGGCTTCAGGCTGCTAAAAACCTAAAACAGGACAAAAGAGAACAAAAAATAAGGTGGCTTGGATGAGCTTGATCTACATCCCTGAGATAAGAGATTCCAAGTAGTAGAGCAGAAGGAAAGTTGTAGAACTTTTCTACATTTTGAGACAAAAACACTCATGTTGTTGCTGATTGGCTGATGTGCCTTGGTGTGAAGCAGCGGCGAGGTCTATAATTGTTTACTTTCCAGCTGTATCGACTTCCCCTGTCACTGACTGTTGGGATAAGTGCGTGTGCACAGCTCCATGACCAAGAGCCCTGGCTTCTGCATGACTTGCTCATCCCGGAGCTCGTCCTTGTGGTAGTCTAGCCTACTTATGACTTTCCCTTTCTGATTACCAGCCTTGCGGATGTCAGGCCTGCTTAGCCAGCTCTTACAGTTGTGTAAGATAATTCTTTGTAAATAAAAGGTAAAATAAAATAAATGGATAGATTAAAAAAACAAAAACAAAAAAACTGCTGGTTCTGTTCTTCATGTCAACCACTGACTGATATATAAACTGAAGAAGCAATTGTTGCCTTATATATCATGCATTCGGGCAGTTTGGATCCCAGATGTCCACCAGCATTCATTCAATGAGTCGTAACTGTACTGTAGCTGACAATATAGCAGCAAACCAAGCAGATATGGACCCTGCATTTGGAGAGTAGATCCTAGCAGGAAACAGATGTTATCTAATATTTATAAGGATACTACATTAGCATGGAGTGATCAGAAGGTGTAACTAGGAGACGCTACCTAAACTTAGGTGTCAGAGAAGGGAAGTAAGGGGCTGGAAGAAAGAGTGAGGGTACGACAAGTGAAAGTAATTCAGGAGGTTTTGCAAAGTTGTCGTTTGTGGCAATAGAAGGGTTGAGGCTTGGGAGAAAAACCACAGGGGGCTATGCAAGCCAAGATAGCAATGTCTGACTCTACCCCAAGGGACAAATATTTTTATTTAAAAACCTTCGTGTTCTAGAATCCTATATAGCTATTTTATAATGTCATAACGTGGTTATACTTTGAGCCTTTGAAGATCCCATGGTGTTAGTATTTTGGTCCAGCCATTCCCGCCACTGTCCTCTTATTTTTTTGCACTTTTTTTTTTTTTTTTACAATTCTCTCGTGTAACCTATGATGCCCTTTCTATTGTGCAAGCATCAGTTGGCTACTGTTATACTATTTTTAACTCGTTCTCCTGCCTTATGCTTTGAATTCTCACCCATTGAAAGAAAAATAAAACAAAACCTGCACTCTCCACATTAATTTACCTGACAGTTTCCTTTTGTCAATGTTTACTTTCTGTTCTATTTAGATGTACAGAAAAGCTTCCGGAGGGTGGGCAGTTCCTCAGCCTCATTATTCCTGGCCCTCTGTCACCACCTGCGGTGTGGGAGCTCAGCCCTTCCTGAGGCTGTTAACCCTTTCTGACTGCTGAGCCCCCTGATGCTCTAAGGATTTTCTTAATGAAGTAACTGATTTACTTAATGAAGTAAATGCCATCCTTGAAAACTAGGGCAGTACAAATCATCAATTCTACGGATGAGAGAGGAAACACTGAAATGGTGCTAGAAGGTACATGACAAAACCAGTCACAAATCTGAACGAGGTTGAACTTTGTGAGCCTAAGGTCCGTTTTTGCCTTTTTTTTTTTTTTTTTTTTTGAGACAGGCTCTTGCTGGGCTGCAGTGTGGCAATCCTAGCTCATTGCATGCAGCCTTTAAGTCCTGGGCTGAAGCACTCCTCCTGCACAGCTGGAATTACAGGCAAGGGCCACTGGACCTGGCCAGTTTTTGCTTTTTTTCTTTTCTCTTTCATTATTTTCAGGCTTTCCTGTATTCCCTATTCAGGTTTCCCTATAGCTGTCTTTGGGAAAACAGTGAAATATAGAGGTTAAACCAAATTGTAAATTGTAAAGCCAAACTGATTTGGGTTGGGAGTCAAGTTCTACCATAGCTTATTTCTATATTTGTAACATGGGCGTACTATTACATACAAGTAATAGATTTAAAAAAGGTGACATGTGCAGAGTAACTAGCTTAGTGCTAGGCACATAGACAGGGCTGAGTATATTTGACATATTAAGCATTATGATCTTTATTTCTCATCTCCAAATATTTATTCTGGAAACTGGAACATGCGGATAAGGTGAGCAAGTGACAATGGAAATGCAAAATAAAAATTTACATTAAGCCACAAAGGGCTACATTCACACAGCACTGGGGGAGGTGAGCAGGAAGAGGATAACCTACTCCCAACCAAAGGCTTCTGACAACCTTTTCCTAGCAGCAAAGACTCATGTGTGAGGATCCCAGCACCTGAGCACTCACCAGTCCTAAAAGCCTGGAGTCTTAGTCTCTCAAATCTTAGAAACATCTCTTAATAAAATTTTATTTTTAAATTGACATATAATTACACATATTTATATGGTACATAGTGATGTTTTGATACATACAATTTAGAGTGATCAGATCAGAGTAATTAGCAGATCCATCATCTCAAACATTTATCATTTCTTTGTGTTGGGAACAGTCAATATCCTCTATTTGAAAAAATATAACATTG